CCTATATTCATCTTGGCAAAATGGTGAACAGCTCTGTACCTAAGTTGCAAGGATTTTGAGTATTCAACGTTTCAAAGGCCGGGAAGAGGTTCCAATTTAAGGCTTAGAATCATGATTATTTTGAAGTTAGTGTTAACTTTTTCATGGAATTTTCTCATTATCATCAATCTGAGAACCATAGCTACCCACCGTAGTTAAAAAAAAAAATTTCCTATAGAAAATGTTTTTATGTGCATCTCGCTCTTGTCATCTAATGCTGGCTGAGGATTAGTTGAATTTTTTTTTCTTTTTTACTCCATGCCTGACAAGGTAAAGGCATTGGTAAGCTGAGTGGAGTCTGCTTATGGTAGGGGAGCCCTGGGCCAGCACTGTCACTACCCAAACCTTCACAGCTCCCCGTCTTAGAATGTTCGCTTTCATTCATGGACCAAGCAGTGATTTATAATAGATCCAGTTCTTACCAAGGATTTCATTTCAACTGATAATGAAGTAGAGAATAAGGTCCTATCAACAGCGAGAAGCCCGTTGCCACCCAAGCGTAGGCACCTAAGTTTGAATCCCAGAACCCACATAAAAAAGTCGACAGAGAAAACTGACTCCACAAGGCTACCCTCGCTTCCTTATACAGACTGTGGCACACAAGCCCTCCGCTAGCCCCACATCACACTACAAAAAAACAAAACAAACAAACAAACAAAAAACCCTCATATGTTACAGGAAAGGGTATTGTTGGTAGAAGAGGAAGCTATAGATGAACTTCATAAAACCACCTTAGAAGCCTGTGAAGTAGCGGTGCCTATGACGATCCTGCTTTTAACACCAGATTAAACCGCTCTTTGTTCTGGTTAGCATGGTGAACACTGTGTTAAATAATATTAATGGCTGGGATTGTCAGTACTTAACAGTGCCTTCCTTGTACAAGTGATTTTATTGATCAATACCGACTCAATGAAACCGGGCAGATTATTTTTACTGATTTTATCGAAACCTTGACCAAGTTTGTTAGCGCACCACCTATCTTTAAACAGATCCAGATGACGATGTAGATTAAGAAAAGCAAACCGCCATCCATCTCTTTTTGATCTGTTAATAACTTAAATCCATCATTGCTAGCGAGTGTTTTCAGATTCCGGTGTGTATTCATGTTTCTGTTGGGTCTGGGAAGACTCTTGTAACCTTGTTTCCATGGGTGGCTTTTCAGAGAGCTGTGCACTAACCACTCATCCGGAATTTATCAGATAAGCATGGCGGCGTAATTGGAGGGATGGCGGGCAAACTGGGGATGGGGAAAGGAAACCGTCCTGCAGAATTGCTTTTTAATTTCATCGAGGTAGGAGATCGCCAGGCAGACCTGTGGATTCTTAAATTTTATGGTGGTTCTGTTAGGCTAGAGCTAGACAATATGAAGTCTAGGCCCATCTTCTTTCAGCTGCATTGGTTCTCATATTTGAAATGCTTGCATTTTATGAGCCACAGGGAACCGTGGTGCTTAATTTCATACACTGATTTCCATTAATTTCAAAATGATACACATGCATTTAAGATCATTTTTTTGGTTTGTAGCAGTGGTTAAATTTTGTAAAACTAACCATGTGTATTATTTTTAAAGAGACAAATTATATACAACCTTCCAATTAGACCTTTATTCATTGCATGATTGCATGCATGCATGTATGAACTGCTTAGTACTGAACCCAGGTTCACACATACCAGGCACTGAACTACACCTTTAGCTCTGAAGAATTTTAAAATCTTTGGATGATGCATTCTTGCCCACTTTGGCTAGACAAGCCTGGTGCAGCCCAGCCTACAGAACTGTGGACAAAGAACCTTCAGAGGTAGAGACCAGTGGAGGGGCAATTTGAAAAGCTTTGGGAATCTCAATGTTTATGATCTCTTGGAGGGATTTATGTGGTCGTAGAGGATGGAGGCTAAAATAAAGTCAAGTGAGTTGCAGCCCTAGAGTACCTGGGACTCGAAACTTAAAGCTTGGGGGGTTTTGAGCCTATGAATTGTCTCATGTTAGCCATCAGTCTGCTAAATGTGTACTAGGTTGTTTGTTTGTTTCGTTGGTTGGTTGGGTTTTTTTTTTCCCCCTCGAGAGAAAAGCTTTGGTGCGTGTCCTGGAACTAGTTCTTGTAGACCAGACTGGCTTCAAACTCACAGAGATTCACCTGCCTCTGCCTCGTGAGTGCTGGGATTAAAGGCCACCACCACCTGGCTTGTATACTGTTTTATTTATTTTATTTTATTTTTTGGGGGGTTTCAAATTTTGGGAATCTGATTTCAAGAAATTTATTTTAGGCATACTTAAGCATAGCACAATTTGGTTAAAAATTTCCTGGTGATAATTAACTCAATCCTGTGTGCAAGGTAAAGCATACATAAATAACCTTGAAGAACAAAGTAAGCTAAATAAAGATCCCATGTGGACCACATTGAAACTTTTTTTAATTAATTAATTTATTTATTTATTNAAGATTTCTGTCTCTTCCCCGCCACTGCCTCCCATTTCCCTCCCCCTCCCCCAAAAAAGTCCCCCTCCCTCGTCAGCCCAAAGATCAATCAGGGTCCCTGCCCTGTGGGAAGTCCAAGGACCACCCACCTCCATCCAGGTCTAGTAAGGTGAGCATCCAAACTGCCTAGACTCCCACAAAGCCAGTACGTACAGTAGGATCAAAAATCCATTGCCATTGTTCTTGAGGTCTCAGTAGTCCTCATTGTCCACTATGTTCAGCGAGTCCGGTTTTATCCCAGGCTTTTTCAGACCCAGGCCAGCTGGCCTTGGTGAGTTCCCAATAGAAGACTTCCTCAGTAGTAACATGTTGAGGTTCCACATCCTAACCAGAGCTCTGTACTGGAAGGATAAATATTTGAGGTTCAGTTCTCTGGACTGTTTCTGGTCATGGGAATGTTCTGGCTGCGTGGTGTTGCTACATAGAGGGCTGGTGGGGTCACTTTCCACAGTGGCATGTGGAAAGCCCACTCTAAGCCCCTTCTCAGCACAGGTAGTTAGTGATGTCCCTACACGTACCTGAGGAAGGCATGTGCATGGGCTTTCTTTATATACAGGTGTCTGTTAGAAAGCAGATGGCTTTTCTAGAGAAGCCCACTGCCCTGGGTGAACATTGTCTCTCTGTGAGTGTTGGATCTTTACAGTGCTTTTGGGTTGTGATTTCTCATTGCTGCGGTTGACCATTCAGTGAAGATTTTAGGAAGCTGGATATGCACCCAGGAGCTTCCGTGGGTTAGCATTTTGTCAGGTTGGTGCGATGGAATCATGTTTTTTTTTTTTTAAGATTTTTAATTTTTACCTTTAATTGTGTGTTTATACATGTGCATCTGCCTGTAGGTTTAGGCATATGCGCATGCCTGAGGCCAGAGGAGGGTGTTGGGGACTGTCTTGGTTCGTATTGCTGTTTGATTTAGTTTTAGTTTTTTGTCAGTTTGACACAAGCCATGATCATCTGGGAAGAGGAACCTCAGCTGAGAAAATGTCTCCATCAGACTGGCCTATGAGCAAGCCTGGGGGGGTTTTCTTGACGGATGGTTGATGTGGAAGGAACCAGCCCACTGTGGGTGGTGCCATCCCTGGGCCTTTGATCCTAGCAGGTGTAAGAGAACAAACTGAGTAAGCCGTGTAAGCAATGTTCCTCCATGGCTTCTGCTTCAGTTCCTGTTTTCAGGTCCTTTCTCTGACTTCCTTTAATGCTGAATTCCAGCTGCACGCTGAAGTCAGCTAAGTCCACCTTTCCCTCCCTGGGTTGCTTTGTAGTGATGGTTTTTCACAGTGAGATAAACCCTCACTGAGCCAGGAACTGGAGTTACAGGCAGTCATGAGTTGTCCAGCTTGGGTGTTGTAAATGGACTTGGGCCTGTACAAGAACAGGACTGTTGTTGACCACGGAGCCACCTCCTCAGCTCTGCGACCATGTGTTCTAAAGAATGAGGTCTTGTGGTGAGGTTGTTTTTAGCTTGATGATTACAGCTCAAGCAAAGAACCCAACTTACTCCATCCTTCACAGACACAGATTCTTACACACGTATACATTTCAATAACACACATTTTGTTGTTTTTCTGACTATGTAGATTTTAAATATATGTTCATATTTGAAAGCTACAAAAACAAAAAAACACGAATAACTTTCTGTAGCTATTTTTCTTAGTCCAGTGTTTTTGCACCAGGAGCAGGGTTTGCCTTACAGGAATGTGTAGTGATACTTTTCATTTTTAGAGCTGGGAATGGGTGGTTCCCGCATCTAACAGGGAGAAGGGTGTACCCTATGGTGCACAGCAGAGCCCCACAAAAACAGATATTTGGTCCAAAATGTCTTTAGTAGCAAGATGAAGAAACCATGACTCAGACCTTCAAAACTGGGCTAGATTTCATCACCTCACGCTACCCTGCAGCTCGCTATGTAGACCAGGCTGGCTTCAGATGGCAGTGGTCTCCCTGCCCCCACCTACCAAGTTCTGAGATTATAGAATCCCATTACCATATCTGGCTTGTTACTCATATTTTCAAATACTTATGATGTCATCTTTTGTGATTTCTAAACTCCTCTATCAATTAAAGATTTCAAAAACATTTACCCCATAGCAAATTTATTTTTTTAAAGTCTTAACTCTTTTATTATGAAAATTTAAATATATAAAAAATCATAAAAATAATATAAATTTCCAAGTTGCTATTGTCTAACTTCAACATTTTTCAGCTCAGAAGAGAGCCTATCTTTTCTCACACTTCCCCCCATAATATTTAAAATACATAATGCGTATGTATTTTAAGCTATACATATTTCAGTGTGGATCCATAATAGGCAAAGATTCTTTGTAAAACAATTTTAATAACTCCTGCATAGCATTCTGTCCTGTAGCTGTAGTGGACGGAGCCTGTTGTTTGGGAGTTGTTTCTAGTTTACCCTTAACAGTTTCTTGTTTTGTTTGTTTCTTCCTTCCTCCCCCTGCCCCCCTGCCTGTTTTCTTGCACTTCTCACAGGGAACGCAGCCCTTGTTCTACAGGTGAGCTAGAATGCGTGCAAACTAAGCAAGCAAGAATGAACACAAGACCCTTAATTTCATTAAGCGCTGGGTAACTGGTAAAGATTAATGCACATATCTCTTGCTAATTCTTTCCAATTACTTAGTTCATATAAATTCCCAAGCCTGGTTAATTATGCTGAAGCCGGGTCGTAATTCTGCACCGCCTTCTGACAACAGGGAATTTTCCTGGTGTAACCTTGTCCTCCCGCACGGGCTCTCGGCAGATTAGGCCCTCAGCCCTGAGTCCATTCATTTTCTCCTCAGGCCTAATTGCTGCCGACTGGCTGCCACAGGTACCTGGATAGCCTGCGTTCAAAGAGGCAGGGGCTTCTGAGAACAAATAAGGAAAGATTAATTGTTTGTTTTGCTCCCTCCCAAGAGAAATGTGGGTGCTTAATCAAGAAAAATAATTTCTTCTGTTGATTTGGCTTATTTGGGGGGAAGGATAATTGCGTGAAGGTGGGTGCCGAGGCGTGCCTTGGAGTGCCTTGGAGAAGAGGTACTGCCCCTTCTCTACACAGGAGACACCGATGGGGGGATTGGACGTGGGACACTGACAGAATGGATAGGGATGGCCTGCATCCCTCATGGTAAGTAATCTGGCTGCTGGGCTCTTATTTGTACCGATAGTCCTCGCTAGTATTGTCATTTGTTTTGCCCGGATCTTCGGAAATCTAATCAAGGAGACAATAGCGTTGAAAAAAAAAATCAACAACACTTTTCCAAATTGTTCTTAATTGCCGGAGAACAAAGTGAGCTAAATGCTGTGATGTTTCCAATTAAAGAAGCTGTTTCTACCAAGCACTATTAAATCCATCTTTCCCAATCTGATAAATAAGCTATCCAAGAGCAGCGCGGACTAATTGAGTGCAGTTAGTCCCTGATTTCTCATAACAGCGAGCGTGCGCCTGCATTGTTAACGGATCTGGCACCGTTTGGCGTGGTAACTGCGTCACTTGTACCTCTGGCTGCTAGAGGAAGAAACTCCAATGAGTTACTCTTTAATAATAGTATCCTGTTGCTTAGGCTTTTCAGTGTCCAAACCATTTTCTTTGCACAATTCTACTTATTTGAGAGGGATGTTTGCTAATGCATTGAATCAAAGTGGAAATCTGAGTTTTGGGTAGGAGAAAAAGATTGAATTAAGGGTGGTATGCCTTGCCGTCATGACTGGAAGGCATAGACAGGTAGACACAGGGTTGGGCAGAGCAGGAAGGAGCTCTAACACCTGTGCAAGGGCAGTGGGAAACGACTGTAGACTGTGAGTCACTCGGCCCAGCTTAGCCACTCAACTCTCCTTCTGTATTGTGAGAGTTGCCATAGAGGCTGGTAAACAAAGCAGAGGGTCCGTGCTGTGATAACACTGTATGTATAAAGGCAGCGGCGGGCCGGATTTGGCCCAGTCTAGTCAGCTCTTGAACTGGAGGCTGGCCACTGAAGGCGTGGAGGCAGCACTGTGTGTGTCCAGAGGTGCAGGGGCTGGGATGAAGAATGTAGCCGTTCCAGAGGGACATGTCTATTTGGGGCTGTAGGCCTCTACTCTCTGTGTAAGCTACATTGTTACTTAAGTCTCCAACCACAGGTCTCCATGGCAGAGTTGTTGCTGACGACTCATTGTGCAAGCCTACGCACACCCTGTAGCTCCTTAAATATCTTACTAAAACGTCTTACTAAGTACTTAGCTGTTTTTCCTCAGACCTGGGCAGCCTCTGCCATGCCTGCCTTAGCCATGTTTTCTCCAAAGCCCTGAATATCCATCCCTGTGGCTGCAGGATTAATACCTAATCTTAATTATTTAGCCATGAAAATTAAAGTAGAAAATGTTTTTGTCAGGACCCATCTGAATAAGTCAATTAAAACTGCCATTCACTTGAAACCTTGTTTTGGACCTAGACAAGGCAGGATATTTAAATAGAGAGAAAAGGTTGATGAAATCTCCCTTCTGTTCATTTGCTCATTCATTCATTCTCAAATCAGCTTCTCTTAAGGTGCTCCTAGGCCTGCCTCTGCCACGTATCTCACATTAACTTTCTTCCTCACCACCAGGCTGGCTGCGCCAAGTCCCAGTTGGCCTAACTGCTAGCCATTTTGTTTAAAATGTTTATTTTATCTCTTACATTCATGACTGTGTTTGCCTGTGTGTATGTGTGTGCACCACATGTGTACCAGGTGCCCAGAGAAGTCAGAAGACAGCATGCTAGCCCTCAGAACTGGAGTTATACACAGGAGGAATCACCATGTGGACGCTGGATCCAGGCTCCTCTACAAGGGCGACCAGTATTCTTGAGTGCAGAGCTGGCCCCTCAGCCCCCATTTTGTTTAGCGTATGTACTAAGGTATAAGTGAGACTCTAGACTTTCTTCACAGGACTGTAGAGTAGGGACTGGCCTCAAATCCTTCTGAACATGGAGACCCCGGCAGTTGAAAGAGGCTTTGTGAGACATCTCATAGGGGGAGCAGGCCCGATGGCCCACACTGCGGGCATTCTAGGTAGAGCACTGCAGCCTGTTTTGGGGTGCAGGAGGTTGTGAGGTAAAGTGTAATGATACCAGTTCTTACTGACATGAAAGGGGTGTCCACATAATCCTTGCCTGAAGGCATGTGACACCCCAACAGTCTTTGCAGGAAAAACTGGGTTGAATAAAAAGCACACAGTTTCAGCACTGTGGGAAGCTAGCCTGGGCCCTATGGGCACTGATGCTGCTCACACTTCTCTGGAATCCGAAGCCCCCTTCACCTGACCCAGCAGAGGAAGGCAAGAGGACAGCGTGTGACTTCTGAAGTGTCAGCATCGCCACAGCTTCACATCTTGAACATGATGCTTTAGGAAGTTGCTTTTGTTGTGGAGTCCTGTTGCCATAACAACGTGTGGAGCCCCCTGTCTGTCTCCCTGAAACCAAGAAGCGGGACTTTGGGCCTGCTCAGAAATCTTTCATAGGAAGAATTTCAATTGGTCTTTTACCAAAACTTTATTAAAAGCAGCATTTTCCAGTTGTTATTTAATTGGGTGACATCACGAAAGTAGAGTGTTTCCTGGCCGGATCTCAGCAGAAAAGTCTTTGCATTGTTGGTGAATGGAACTGGAAGAAAAAGAAAACAAAACCAACCAACCAAACAAAAAAACCAAAAAAAAAAAAAACAAAACAAGCAAAAAAACTGACAATTTAGTAAGAGCAGCTGTGGGCCTACTTATCTTGATGGAGTAATGTTTTCATAATGGCAGCTGTTAAAACCAAGTCTGTATGAATTATTTTAAATTTTTGGTCTCTCTTGACTGCAGTGAGCACTCGCTTTGTTCCAACATAATAGAGCACGGCAGGCACAGGGCTCAGAGGCTAAAACATCAAGGTTTTCTCATTTCCCAATAAGAATGAAAGAGACCTTTAGATTACTAATAAATTCCATAAAGTAGAGCCTGGATTCAATTGTATCTTCATGTTAAAAAGCTTTTGTTTTCAGACAAGGTGTTACTATGTAGCAAGCAAGGACTTTACAAACCTCCTTCCCCACCTTTAGGGAGTCGGTATTGCAGATGTGAACTACCAGACCCAGCTGAAAATGTTTTATGTGATACATAATTGACACACTAATGCCTTTAGGTCAGCTCTAAGTGAATAACCATGTATCTACTGGTTTTTATATTTACATTTGGGGAGCACTGGTTTTTATATTTACATTTGGGGAGCACTGGTTGAGGGGTGCTCAGTCCTGGATGAAATGCCCTGTTCCGGCCATTCCCATAGATCTTAAGTCAATAAAATAGTGTAGTGGTGTGATTTTAACAAAAGCAGATAGTCAGGGTTGGAGAGATGGCTCAGCCATTAAGAGCACTTGGCGCTGTTGCAGGGGACCTAGGTTCAGCTCCCAACACCCAGATGGCAGATCACATTTGTAACTAGTTCCAAGGAACCCTACGCCCTCTTCTGGCCTCCCTGGGCACTGCAAGCACACGGCACCCAGGTATGTACATGCAGGCAAAACCACTCATTCCCATAAAATAAAAATAAATAGAATCTTTTAAAAATAATAAAACAATAGATAACCTTTCTATACTGCTCGCAATGTGTTCAAGTACTCTGTCCTTATTTTAGGTAATTATTTTACTAGATAGCTCTGCCTGGTTTGGAACTTGCTCTATAGACCAGGCTGGCCTTGAACTCCGAGATCCTCCTGCCTCTGCTTTGCCTCCTAAGTACTGGGACTAAAAGCATGTGCCACCATACCCAGCCTCTGTTTTTGTATTCAATCTTTATTTTTTTTTCCTGTGCTGGGAATTAAACATAAATCACACATCTTAATTTTCAGAGTGCTTGCAGGCTGGGTCTGCAGTCCCAGTACTTTGGAGACAGCGGCAGGAGGATTTAGAGTTCCTAACTACATGGAGATCCCATCTCAGAAAATAAATGCAGAATTTGACAAAGCCCTTTCTGTGCATAAGAGAGGTGGGTGTTTATGTGCCGGATGGGGCGTTCATTTCACACCCTGGCCCCAAATTCACTCGAACTGCTTCTGTGAGTTAAGGTTGCCAGAGAAGCTGTTACATCTGAAGCACTCCTTGGCTCTGTCTGGCCTCTTTCCCTTTTCCTGTCCCCCACAACAGAATTGCGTGTTGGTTTGTTTGCTTGTTAGATCCTGTGACACTGAGGCAGTCCCTTCGTCCCCTGCCCTTGCAGTGACTATAGAGTGACTGTCATCCTTGCTGTTCCCAGAGAGCCTTTCTGAGAACAAGTCCACGGATCAACCAGCTTTCTTGTTTCATCCCTTCTATGCCTGGGCAGGAGGGTGAGGTGGTTGTGTCAGAGCGGCATGATGTGGTGTTGGCGAACCACAGGTCAGCTTTCTCTGGTGTTAGAACTACTCGTTAGATGCTAACCCTGGGCTCTTCAGCCCTCACCGAGGTAATCTCTGTACTCCACACTGGTGGTCAGATTCAGTTTCCTCCCATCTCGGCTGCTGCTCCCTGGCCTTGCTTAGCTCAGATGCTCCTGTTCTGTCTTGTCACCTCCTTGTTGAAAAGCTCCACGGGCTTCTCTTGTGTTATTTTGGAAAAATATGGGCCCTTTATGAGACCATTATTTTCATGTAGAACAACATTTTGCCTGTGTCCCAGTCGTCAGTCCAGAGTGCGTTCGTTTGTTGTCCAGCATCCATCCCCGATGAACGCCTTGTTCTTTCTTCCAGGATCTTCCGGGTAGTTTTCTCCTGGACTCGGGCCCCTCTGGTTCATACTCAAAGTCTGAATGACTAACCTTCTTCCATTTCATACCTGGGAATGTCATCTACCTGCCAGAACACTTGAATGACTCCTCGTCAAGTACCAATTTGAGATATTCTTAGGTCACATGTTCCGATTTTTATTTTGTGTGTATGAGTGTTTTGTCTGCATGTATCTATGTGGACCACTTATGTGCCTGTGCCTGCAGAGGTCAGAAGAGGACATCGAATCCCCTGCAATTCGAGTTACAGATGCTTGTGAGCCATCACGTGGGTGCTGGGAAACTTACTTTGGTCTCAACGAGAGCATCAAGTGCTCTTAATGCTAAACCAACTCTCCAATCCCTGACACATGATTTTTTAAATTCTCTGTAGC